GCTCGCACCAGGAGAATGGAGTTTGTCACGAGACGGCGAAGGCACTCACACGCTGGTGGCGATCGGTGTTGTTGGCTCTCCCGTGTCGCACCTTGCCGCTGTTCTATTCTGACGTGAACGACGGCATCGGAGCGCAGGTGAAGGCTGGAGGCTGGAGTCTGGACCGAGCCCCTGTGCGAGGCGCTCGGACCCACCCGCTCTCGAGAACGACGACGTAACGGTGCTGGGGAATCTGTGCGACATCTATTGGTTGAGCAGAAGATGATTTCGGCGACCTCCAAAAAGCCCCTTTGCGCACACGTACTGGTCCTCTGGCAACCCGTCTACGGGCAGTATGATTGACTATTGGTTTCTTCCTAGGGGGTGGCTTGAGCGCCTTCGACGCAGTCACATTGTGCGCGACTTGGGCGGCACGCTACAGCCGATCAGAGGCATTCCTCCTCGGGATCACATCCCAGTCCTGCTCGAACTCTGCTACGAGAAGGACGTCGGGGCCCTGCCACCCGCACCGCCGATGCGACTTAGCGGAGATGCGATGATGGCGGCCATCTTGAGGGGCGAGAAGAAGTCAGAGTTTTTTACGAGAAGTCACACAACAGTTGAGGGAAAATGAAGAGCATCTGCGATCTTTGGCCGACCAGAATTCGCCTGACGCCCTTTGGGAGAAGTTGGAGACCATCATGACGACGGCGGGCGCCAACCATTTCAAGCAGCCACCCCGCGCACCTCGACCTGAAGATTGTGCGGAGCGCCGAAGGCTACTGGAAGCACGCGCTGCACTTCGACGATCACGAGCAGATGTCGGCGGCTGTTCTTCGCCTCCTACCTGTGCGACTACGGGGCCTTCGGCTGTTTCGCTGGAACTGGGGCCCAACATCAGATGCAGGCCAAATGCCATCTGCGACCAGAACGCACCCCCCACTGGCGATCAGAACGATGAGCCTCGAGAGGCCAGGGCGGCGATGGGAAAGGGGTCTCCGACGTCCCTTGGCGCGCCGTGCTCGCCTCGACTGCCCGCGTATGGGGCCGCCTTCGGGGGCGCCTTGGGACCGCAAAACTCAGTTCCAGGACACACCCACGAGAGTGACCGACTGAGCCAGATAGAGCAGCAATTGAAAGATCTTTCTCGCCAGCTTCAGCGACAACGCAAGCGATCAGCGCTGCTGTCCAAAGAGCTTCTTTTGGAACAAGTACGCGAAGCATGGCGAGGTCGACGCATGCATGAAGCTGCCCGCCTCTCTCGCCAAGCTGCTCGATGTCGGTTCGGCGCCCGACACAGAGATGGACGGAGACTGGGCATCACTACACTTAGTAAGAAGGCCTGACTAGACGTCTGGCAGCTGGAAGGTGGCTCTGGAGGCATGCTGGCTACGGAAGTTGACTGGGGTGAGTGGCGACAACAACGTGATTTGTGCCCTGTTCCACAGGTGCAGGCTTGGGAGGTTAGTGAGCGAACCTATCGAGCGGCAGAAGATTACGCTGGCCTCATCCCTTACTTTCGTAAGACTACTAAGCGACGAGCGGCGCCTGTGGGAACCACACCTGCTGAGCTATGGGATTTGTGCTTCTCGGCGGACAAGGCTACCAAAGGGGAGCACCTCGGGCTGGGCTGCGAGACGGGGGAGGTCAACATGGACGCCTTTAAGGAGATGGTCCTTCTTGGGCTTGCTACGATACGACGTACCGATCTCGCCCCACTGTACTGGTCCCGCAGCCTGGGCCACGGACTCTCGAAGGGCAATGCGAAGTCTGGAGCTCTGGGCAAGCGAGTTATCCACGCGCTTCCTGCTGTCAGCAAGGGCTTCTTTGCCAAACGTCTAAATGTTCGGGCGCCACCACAGGCCTACGGCTTCGCCAAGCATAAACGACGCGAAGGAGCAATATTGGTTACTCAGTGCCTTCCTTGGAGATTGAGACAGTCGCAGGTGAGCTTCGCCAATACGATGAAATATTTACCCAATGCATTTGGCAGCGTATCTTGGGCAACTTTCGACTCGACGGTGGAGAACTGCGCTAAGCCAGAAGATTGGAACCTCTGCAAGCGACACTATCGAGATGGGGTTATCGAAATGCAGGGGGACGAGGGGGCCTTCTACATGAAGCCACAAGTTGGCGGCTTGATGGGGGACCCGTTCATTGTCAGTGCATTCCTTGGCTCTTTTACGAGGCCCACGACGTACTGGTCGGCGGCGATGAAGTCTAAATCGGGAACGCACCTACTTTGTGGAGCTCTACCTGATGATGATGAAGTTGACCTCTCGCATTGCTCGTACGCCGACGATCTTCACAGAACATTACTCTTCAAGGTCGGCAGCACTATGCATGAGGTCAGTGCGGAGCTCAAGAAAACCGATGACATTCTGGACGCAGCTTTGGCGTTGGACGGCATGAAGCAGAACAGAGACAAGCAGGTCACCAGTTTCTTCTTCTCTGGGGCCGAGGCCTCGGCTTGCAAGCAGTGGATGGGTAAACCAGGCCGTGTGGCTGGTACGGTTGTGGACGTTGCGCGTTATCTCGGACCAGTGGTATCCCCTTCTCAGACCACATCTCACGAGCTGGAGCGCCGATTCTCGGCGACGAACTCAGCATTCTACGGGCTTGGAGGAGTCTGGTCGCTGCGAATACCGCGGAGATGGTAGCGTACTCTTTTTCTCTCACTGGTCCAGAACACGATGCTGTCAGCCATGGGGTGCTTCTGCCTGAGCGACCACCAATATTCTCGTATGGACGCTCACATCGCCAAGCTAGGACGGATTGCCATGGGCGGCTCGGCGACGTGGCAGGGGCCCCAACATATGCAGAGGCTTTCGAATTCACAAGTTCTTGCCTTCTGGCGTGTGGCTCCTTGTTCAGTGGAGCTGCGCACCCGTCGACTGGCCTGGTACCAGGCGCGGGCACTTCGTCCGCAGGTAAACAAGCAGATATGGACCGTTCTCTTCTCGCTCCTCGACTTCGAATCGGAAGATAGGGACCCCTGCTCAGCCGATTTAGGTCTCTCCCAGTACGCGTCCCCCTGGCTCTATCAGATGCGATCGGAGCTCCAGGCTGCTGCTGCTGCTGCTATTCATGATCGCGAAGAACTGCTGCTTGCCCTGGCTCATTCTCCCTGGAAGCTACTCGACGGCGACGATGAGGATATGATTCGCGAATTCGTCAACCTCGACTTTTCTGAGTATCGCGCATCGGTTTTCTCGTGCCAGATCGCTCCGTCAGGACTCGTGGAGGAGGCCGAGGAGGTGGAGGACGGGGAGGACGGGCCCGTCGAGAAGCCCCTCGTCTGCACGCACATACACGAGGGGGTCGATTGCGGGGCCAGGTTCGAGACGAGGAGAGCACTCACAGAACACCTACGGCATAGGCACCGAGTACTTAATACTGCACACGTACTTACTCCGTCGAACGCGTGCATAGTGTGCAACAGAACGTACGCCACTCAGGTCACAGCCAGCAGGCATTTGCAGAGCGCTCTCCTAAGGGGTTGTTGTGATCCTCGCGGGGCCTCGTCTAACGCACCCTTCACCGAGCCAGACAGTTACAGGTGCCCGATCTGCGACTTCGATGGGGCCAGCTACGAGATGCTTCGCCTACATTTACAGTTGCATCTGCCATTAAGGGTCAAGCCTCCCAGACCTCGAGGTGTTAAGCCCCGTGCTCAACCTCGTGATGTCGCTGCCGCCCATGCCCTCTTGGATGGCGCAGACGGCGCGCACAGGTGCCCCGGGGTCGGCGGAGCCCAAGCGCAACGCAGCCAAGAAGGACACGACGGCGCATATGGAGCAGATGTCCCAGGGCATGGCGAGGCTCGCGGTCGGACTGGAGAGGCGCACGGCGATGCTGGAGGCGAGCGTCTATCGGAATCATTTCGTGGACGAAGGGGCGGATTTGGGCCAGGCTTGCATCGAGGGCCAAACAATTACGACGCCACGAGCAAGGAGCTCAAGGCAAAGCAGGACAGCGGCGAGGCCATCGACTGGAAGGCAAGAGGTGCACCACACGTCGCGCTGTCCGTACTCGCACAAGGAGGAAGTCATCCCAACGAGCAGGGCCACAAAGCTTTCTCGGAGTTCTGGACGTCGGTTGTGGACAAGCAGACGCCGCAGCAGCACGGCCTCCTGGTGCTCAATTGCAGGCACAAGAGGGCACGTACAGCCAAGGATGGAGTGGATTCTCAGATGGAGCGCAAGGGAGTACTGACGCTCAACTTGAATGTTCAGGACTGTCAGGCGGCGAGGGTGTTGTGGCCGATCATGAAGGAATACCTCTGCGACATCGAGCGGACGGAGCTGATCCCAGGCCCAGCACCTCGCGGCCCGACGGAAAGGTGGCTCGGTGCTCAGATCAAGTGACTTTCGAAGAGAAGGTGCGGCGTTTACTCACTGTGGTTGGTAACAATAGTGTATTGCCGTGGTCGTACCATGATGTTCCGGAGTTGGTATTGGGCACGGATGAGCCCGAACCACCACCGTCTCTTTCGACATCGGCGGCCAGTTCGGGCTTGGGAATGTTGAAGAGAGGACCTTCAGTTGCAACACCTGAGCCTGGGGCTGTCGCCCGCCGCCGCCTGTCTCAGTCAGCGCAGAGTAATCTAGCAGGCTCTGCTCGGTTGCAAAGTTTAATACAGCGAGGCGAGGTTTCGAGGGAGGTGCTTCAGCAAGAGGTTGAGGTTACCACCTACAGCAACCCCGCCCTCCCCCTCGTCCCTGTAATGGTTCACCCCCGAGCTGAGCCGACTAGAGGGAAGGGGCGGTGTCGTAGTCGTCGTACGGGACGGGGGGACGGGGGGAAAGGAAAGGCCAAAGGCGATAATTCGCACCCTGGACAACCTTGCACTCCCCTCTCGTCTGATCCTCCTCCTCCTCCTTTCTCCGAGCAAGGGGCTGAGAGGGCCCCCGCTGGTCCCATCAGGTTTGTCCGCGAGGGTGCGGTTGTTTGAGGTTGGTCCCCGAAGCTGGGCACCCCCCTCCCAGGCTGCGTGCCGACTTGAGGGGGACCGCTCAGTATGGGGCCGCGCGGGCGGCGCTCGACAGGCCTCCTGCGTTATCGAGCGAGGTCAAGCTGCTGAAGCAGCGCGCAGAGTTCAGCGATTTTGCGATTCATTATCGATTCAGAGCTCCATTGCGATGTCTTGTCTTGTCTTGTCTCCTGCTCCTGCTCCTCCTCCTCCTCCTCGTCCTCGTCCTCCTCCTCCTCCTCCTCCTCCTCCTCCTCCTCCTCCTCCTATTGCTCCTTCTCCTGCTCATCCTGCTCCCCTCCTCCAGCGGGAGGCTCAGGACGCGGGCGACTGGCGCCCAGCGTGAGCCCTCCATCTCGGACGCCCGGGCCTCGACCTTCGGCTTTGGATCCCGCGCGCGGGTGTGCAGGGGGAGGGGGGAGGGCGTCGTAGAAACACCCCTGCTTCTTAGAAGGCGCGGGCCCTGTCTGTCATTGTAGGGCCGCCAACTCGACCGCGTTTTGCAATGAGCTCGAGATCCTGAAGTGCGCATTGTCCTGAGTAGACCCCCGACGCGCGCAGCTTCTCATGCGAGGCCATGGCCTCGCCCGCCTCGCCCTTCAGGGGCCCGGGCACGTGCCCGCACAGGCGTTCCGTTCCGTTCCGTTCCACCTTCTATGAAGCAGCCTCCCTCTAAGAAACCGTCCCCCCTCCCCCATGCACCCCTGCGCGCGCCGCCGGAGGTACAAGATCGTGGACTGGATGGTCGCCTTTGGGGTCACGGCCGGGCTGGTGCTGTACAGCGGGCGGGGCAGAACGCGGGCGCCTTCCCGGCCCCTCCCCGGGCGGATCGCCCGCCGTGAGGCCTTTGGTGGTCTCCAAACCAGGTGGTGAGACACCCGGTGGTGACCCCGATTCCCCCAAAAAATAATTCTGGGTCACCACCGGGTTTGGGGACACGCGGTCGCCACGAGGTTTTGCGTTTCCTGGGCCAGCCAGCGCTCGAAAAACATGACCCAACTCGCCCAAAACTCACCACCGGGTGTTCTCCCCACCACGTTTGGGGACCACCAAGGCCTGGAGGTCGGGGGGGGCGGGGGGCCGAGCATCGGCGGCGAAGTCCGGACCCTACCCGCGCCGACCAGCGCTTCGGGCAAGTCGAGGGGCGGCGCGGGGAGAGATGGGGCTCGGCTGTCGTCGAGCCGGCGGCGCAGTCCGAAGCCCACTCGTCGGAGGTGGACAGACCTCCTACCGTGACACGTCGAGTAAGGAATTGGCCGTCTTGGGTTCGCGAGAGGGCGTCGCGGCCGTCATTTTTGCGGGTCCAGGTCCGTCGGTTTCGGTGCCAGGCCGTTTTCACTGAGGGGAGGTTTACTAAAGGGAGGTTTGTCCACCGCCGATCGCGCCTCCCATCGATGGAGGGCTGGTGGGGGCAGGGTCCGCGCATGTCGCCGCCCTGGGGGAGGGGAAGGCTGAGCCCTGGCAAGGCTGCAAAACGACGCGAAGATCGGGACAAAGTCGGATCGGGATCACTCGAAGTCTCTGAGAATCGGCGGGTTTGGAGGATGTCTTGGGCGCCGCGGCCGCTCCAGAGCGTTCCGGAACGCTCCGAGAGCGCTCCGGAATGCTCTGGAGCGATTTATCCCGATCCTAGCCCTGTTTTGGGCTGGGCTCAGGGAGGCGCAGACCAGGGGCTGGGGCGCGTGGGTCAGCGCTGGCCCCCGTTTTTTTTATACGGAGGCGGCGCGCTCCGCCGCCAGATCATGCGGCCTTGGCCGCCTGCCCCCTGGCGCGCTCCGCGCGCCAGAGAGGGGGGGTGTCCAGCGCCGATCCAAGAGCATGGTACGGACATCTCGGAGAAAATATGTCCGTGCCGTTTTTTGGTGTTGTTCCGCTGGATGACCTACCAGGGCCATGGCATCTTCTTGGATTGGGTGGGTTCCTCTTCTTCATCCTCTTATCATGGCTCTTACGCATTAGCTTAATTTTGTATGTGTGCTACTGTTGCTCTCATCATTCGTTGTGGTGTTTGCATTTCTATTGCTCTTCTTATGCTATGACTAGGCTTAGTACTCTTATGTTTCATTGTCTTAGTCTGATTATTATTCTTATTATTCCATCGCGTCCATTGGCCCATTCTGGGCCGCGCACATGCCTGGGGCCATCATTTGCGAGCCCCCTTCTTGGACGCCCCCCCCTTCTTGGACGCCCCCGGATGAGGAGCTGGTTGGAGCCAGCCTGGACTACCTCAGGGGCTGCCTCCGAAGAAGAATCATCCAGTCGAACGGCCCAACCACATCCAGTGTGTGAGCGCCGCAAGGCAGGCGAACAGGAGGAGGAGGAGCTGGAGGGTGGCGAGCCACGAGGTGTGCGAGGGGTGTGTCGAAACGGATGCGGTGACGCCATGCGGGCCGTCTCTCAAGCCTTCGGGGGAGTTCTCGATGGGGTCACGAAGCGTTTGAGGGGTGTGCCGCAAGTGGCGGGACGACGCCATGTGGGCCGTGCCGCTGGAGCCTTCGGCGCATGTGGCCACGAAGCGTGTGGAGGGTGTGCCGGCAATGGTTTGGGTGACGCCGTGTGGGCTCTGGCATTATGGCATTCGGAGGAGCCCCTTATGGGGCCACGATGCGTGTGAGGGGTGGCCGACATGGGCGGGGTAACGCCCTGCGGGCCCTGGCATTTTGGCCTTAGGCGGAACTCCCGATGACGGCGCGAAACGTGTGAGGGGCGTGCCGAAATGGGACGAGTGACGCCATGCGGGCCTTGCCATGTTAGCCTTCGGTGGAGCTCCCTTTGTGCCGAAAAATGGCGCGTGGCGCCGTGCGGGCACTGGCGATTTGGCATCCGGTGGAGCTCCTTGTGGGGCCACGATGCGTGTGAGGGGTGGCTGACATGCGTGGGGCGACGCCAAGCGGGCCCAGGCAGTTTGGCCTCCGGCGGAGCACCCCCGTGGGGCCACAACGCGTGCAGGGTATGCCGAAGTGAGCCCGATGCGGAGCGCGGCGGCGAGGAGGGGAGGCGTGGCGCGGGGAGGCGCGAGGGAAAGGAGGCGCGGGGCGCTCCTGCGAAACGAGGACCGGAGGCGCCGCTCTGGTGGCGGCTGCGCCCAGCCCGTGACCCGCTTGCGCGCCGGCCTTTGAGAGCAGAGGTGTGTTCGATGCCCAGGTCCCAAATCTGCTCTGGGCGTCGTCCCACTCCAGGGGTCAAGCGGAGTCGCCTCCTCCCTCTCTTCCGGGGGCGTGCGGAAGCCCAGTCTGCTTCCAGCGCCTTCCTACCTCATTCAAGTCGGGCCTGTCCCCCTACAGATGATTTTCGACTAACAATAAAAAATACCCCAAAAATAGTCAAAAGATAATCCAAAAACAGTCTGGGGATTATTTGTTGTGTAGTTTTGGACCTTTTTGGGGCATGTTTGGGGTATTGTTTATTCCCGGAAAGGGCGTGGGCCCAGGGTTCTCTTTTACTAGGTAAACCTAATCCCCCGGTGCCTGCTTGAAGGAGGCCGGCGAATTGCCGGCGAATTTTTCCCTGATAAATAACGAGGTCGAAGGAGGCCGGCGAATTGCCGGCGAATTAAAATTTGAGGATGTCTCGAGCGAAACGCTTGTTTTTGAAATCCCGATCGATAAATCACAGGGTGCGGGCCACTTTTTCGTGTGTTGAGGATGTCTCGAGCGAAACGCTTGCTCCGCAGAGTTTGCCGAGGATGTCTCGAGCGAAACGCTTGTTTTGCAGAGCCGACCGCGACGCGGAAAAGCGCCCCGCGCGAAGGAATTTCGATGATGTCTCGACTAATTCCTTTGTTTTTGTACGATTTCCTGGAATTTTGGCAGGATGTCTCGAGCGAAATGCACGACCCCACCCTAGCACGACCATACCCCAGCACGACCACACCCCAGCACGACCAGACCCCAGCACGACCCCACCCCAGCACGACCCCACCCCAGCACGACCATACCCCAGCACGACCACACCCCAGCACGACCCGACCCCAGCACGACCCTACCCCAGCAAGACCACACCCCAGCACGACCACACCCCAGCACGACCTCACCACAGCACGACCACACCCCAGCACGACCACGCCCCAGCACGACCACGCCCCAGCACGACCACGCCCCAGCACGACCACCCCCCAGCACGACCACACCCCAGCACGACCACACCCCAGCACGACCACCCCAGCACGACCACACCCCAGCACGACCCCACCCCAGCAAGACCACACCCCAGCACGACCACACCCCAGCACGACCTCACCACAGCACGACCACACCCCAGCACGACCACGCCCCAGCACGACCACGCCCCAGCACGACCACGCCCCAGCACACCACCCCCCAGCACGACCACCCCCCCAGCACGACCACACCCCAGCACGACCACCCCCCAGCACGACCACACCCCAGCACGACCACTCCCCAGCACGACCACACCGCCTTGGTTGAGTGGTTGCCTGTCGTCGTGGAATGTTTCGTGGGGTGTCTCGTGGAATGTTTCGCGGGGTGTCTCCTGGAATGTTTCGTGAGGTGTCTCGCGGAATGTTTCGTGAGGTGTCTCGTGGGATGTTTCGTGAGGTGTCTCGTGGGATGTTTCGTGAGGTGTTGCCCCGTTGGGTATCGTGAAAACGTGCCCATGCTCCACATGTCTATATCCCTTTCCGGGTTCGTGGGTCCATCATGTTTTTCGCCGAGAATCCCCCTGTAGGGGGACAGGCCCGACTTAATACTTCATGCTCCTACCCGACTCCTCCGACCGGCGTGTGCGCCAGCCACGCCGTGCTCGCACCGCCCCGCGCTCGCGCGATGGCCAGGGCGTCCCCGCAGAGGGGCCTCGGCCTGCGGCGGGGCCTCGCTCGCTCGGAGGGGGCCCGCGGACGTGCGAAAGATCCGCAGAGGGGCCCGCCGCTGGAAGCCCGGCCCGGCGTCCGCTCGGGGGGAAGGCAGGGGAAGTCAGTCGACTAGACTTAATTCGGGCGTGTCCCCCTACAGGGGGGTTTTCGACGAAAAATCAAAAAGTACCCCAAAAATGTTCCAAAGAAGTCAAAACATATTCAAAAAATAGTCCCCTCACTATTTTTTTTGATTATTCTTAGACTATTTTGGGATATTTTTTATTTGTCGTCGAAAATCCCCCTGTAGGGGGACAGGCCCGACCTAAGACTAGACGTAAGAGTGACCTTTCGCCGGAGTGACCCTTGGTGCGGGCCCAGTGGGGTCCCCCGATCGCCACATGCGATGCGATGGTAGCGTCCCGCGCGCTCGTGCTTGGCCCCCCCGCGGTCCCCCCCAAAAAAGCCGCGCGCCAAAGGTCACTCTTACCCAGGGTCACTCTTGCGTGTAGCCGAGTCAGAGAGAGGCGTCAACGTGCTCGAGGAAGAAGCTGCATGCACATAAACTCTTGGCGTTCCGCGCAGATCTCTCGGATCCGCGCTGGGCCCCCCTGGCGGCGCCTCCGGCGCCGCCCCTGGCGCGCTCCGCGCGCCATGGAGGGGGGTCTAGCGCAGATCCAAGAAATCCGTGCCGACCTCCACAAGTTGATGTTTATGCTTTTTCTCTTCCTCGATCGAAGGGGGGCGTCAACATGTGGGGGCTTAGGGTTTCTGGAGTGGGCCAGCTGGTAGCGGCGGAAGGCGCTCCCCTTCTGCCACCCTCACATGCTCACTGGACCACTGGGAACCGAGCACGCAGCTGGCAGCCCACTGCTGGGCCTCGGCCTCCTGGGCAGCTTCGTCGTGCTGGACGGCGTCTCGTCCTTCGTCCAGGACAAGCTGTTCTCTGAAGAACGGTGCGAGGGGCGGCGCTGCGCAAAATGGCGACGGACGCCTTTCCCACGACCTTGCCAGCCTCTGCAGGGCGGGACCCCCTGCAGGACCATCAAGACACGTCCGTGGATGGAGAACCGGCCCTGCGATGGGGGTCGAGAGAGCTCGGAGCCGAAGTCACCAAAAAGTTGGTATGTCGGACGTCTGGGAAAGTGGGGGATTGGCTCAGTGGGTGGGGCAGATCGATCCCAATCGCCCATTGGCTGACCAATCTTCCGTTCGGCACCGACTGCAGCCTGGGCGCCCCCTCCTGCCACGAGAAGACGCCGGGCTCCACTGTCGGAGGCCTGTCGCCGAGCTACCGGCGATGCATCGTCGATGCCAGGCTGGTGTTCCCCCCCTTGAGTTTGCTCGGGCGTGCCCCCCTACAGGGGGACTTTCGACGAAAAACAAAAATATCCAAAACATAAGCAAGAAAATAATAAAAAAATAGTCGGGGGACTATGTTTTGAATATTTGTTGACCTTTTTGGTGTATTCTCAGGGGTATTGTTTATTCCCGGAAAGGGCTTGAGCCCAGGGTTCTCTTTTATCTTTTAGATGGTTTCCCCCCGGGTTTGACGGGAAGAGGGCCGGCGAATTTCTTTTGCGATAAATAACGAGTGGGAAGAGGGCCGGCGAATTAAAATTTGAGGATGTCCCTAGCGAAACGCTTGTTTCCCGGAAAGGGCTCCGGCCCAGGGTTCTCTTTTAGTTTGTAAACTAGTCCCCCGGTGCCTGCTTGAAGGAGGCCGGCGAATTGCCCGCGAATTTTTTCCCTGATAAATAACGAGGTTGAAGGAGGCCGGCGAATTGCCGGCGAATTAAAATTTAAGGATATCTCGAGCGAAACGCTTGTTTTTCAGAATTTGTCGAGGATGTCTCGAGCGAAACGCTTGTTTTTCAGAATTTGTTCCCGGAAAGGGCCTGAGCCCAGGGTTCTCTTTTAGTATGTAAACATGTCCCCCGGTGCCTGCTTGAAGGAGGCCGGCGAATTTTTTCCCTGATAAATAACGAGGTCGAAGGAGGCCGGCGAATTAAAATTTGAGGATGTCTCGAGCGAAACGCTTGTTTTTGAAATCCCGATCGATAAATCACAGGGTGCGGGCCACTTTTTCGTGTGTTGAGGATGTCTCGAGCGAAACGCTTGCTCCGCAGAGTTTGCCGAGGATGTCTCGAGCGAAACGCTTGTTTTGCAGAGCCGACCGCGACGCGGAAAAGCGCCCCGCGCGAAGGAATTTCGATGATGTCTCGACTAATTCCTTTGTTTTTGTACGATTTCCTGGAATTTTGGCAGGATGTCTCGAGCGAAATGCACGACCCCACCCTAGCACGACCATACCCCAGCACGACCACACCCCAGCACGACCAGACCCCAGCACGACCCCACCCCAGCACGACCCCACCCCAGCACGACCATACCCCAGCACGACCACACCCCAGCACGACCCGACCCCAGCACGACCCTACCCCAGCAAGACCACACCCCAGCACGACCACACCCCAGCACGACCTCACCACCACCCAGCACGACCACGCCCCAGCACGACCACGCCCCAGCACGACCACGCCCCAGCACGACCACCCCCCAGCACGACCACCCCCCCAGCACGACCACCCCCCAGCACGACCACCCCCCAGCACGACCACACCCCAGCACGACCACTCCCCAGCACGACCACACCCCAGCACGACCACACCCCAGCACGACCACACCCAGTCGCACCCCCGTGGAATGTTTCGTGGCGTGTCTGGTTGAGTGGTTGCCTGTTCGTGGGGTGTCTCGTGGAATGTTTCAAAGGGTGTCTCGTGGAATGTTTCGTGAGGTGTCTCGTGGAATGTTTCGTGAGGTGTCTCGTGGGATGTTTCGCGGGGTGTCTCGTGGGATGTTTCGTGAGATGTCGCCCAGTTGGGTATCGTGAAAACGTGACCATGCTGCACATGTCTTTATCCCTTTCCGGGTTCGTGGGTCCATCATGTTTTCAGAATTTGTTGAGGATGTCTCGAGCGAGACGCTGGTTTTGCAGAGTTGGGGATATCTCGAGCGAGACGCTTGGTTTCAGAATTTGTTGAGGATGTCTTGAGCGACACGCTGGTTTTGCAGAGCCGACCGCGACACGGAAAAGCGCCCCTCGCGCAGGAATTCCAAGGATGTCTCGCGCGTGCCGCGTCCCGCGCGCGGGTATTTGGATTTCTTGGGATTTTGACAGGATGTCTCGAGCGAAACGCTTGTTTTTCATAATTTGTTGAGGATGTCTCGAGCGAAACGCTGGTTTTGCAAAATTGGAGGATGTCTCGAGCGGTGGCCTCGTGGGGGGCCAGAATTCAAAGGATGTCTCAGGCGAAATGCTTGTTTTCACGTCCCGCTCGCAGGAATTCCGAGGATGTCTCGCGCGTGCAGCGTCCCGCGCGTAGGAATTCAGATGATTTTGACAGGATGTCTCGAGCGAAACGCTTGTCCCCAGCACGTTCCGTAGCGCGTCCCCTTGGCAGGTCCCGCGGTGCGTCCCCATGGCACGTCCCTTGGCACGTCGCTTGGCGCGTCCCTTGAGACGTTCTGCGTCGCGTCCTCCTGGCATGTTCCCCTGTCCATTAGCTCTGGGGCAGCTACTATGTGTTCAGGCAGCTCGAGCTTAAGATCCAGATCAGTTCGGTCAGGACTCGGATGCAAAGGAGGACTCGATCCACGAGGCTATAGAGCACAATCGCGCCATGGCACATCGCAATTCAGCACGGCGCAGCACAGCACTGATTTCGGCACGGTACATCAAGGTCGATGCACTCAGCATTGCAACTTGGCACGTTCCTTGGCACGTTCCGTGGGGCGTCCTTTGGCGAGTCCCCCTGGCACGTCGCGTCGCGCGTCCCCTGGCACATCCCGTGGCACATCCATTGGCACGTTCCGTAGCGCGTCCCCTTGGCACGTCCCGCGGTGCGACCCCATGGCACGTCCCCTGGCACGTCGCCTGGCGCATCCCTTGGGACGTTTCGCGGCGCGTCCTCCTGGCATGTTCCCCTGTCCATTAGCTCTGGGGCAGCTACTATGTGTTCAGGCAGCTCGAGCTTAAGATCCAGATCAGTTCGGTCAGGACTCGGATGCAAAGGAGGACTCGATCCACGAGGCTATAGAGCACAGTCGCGCCATGGCACATCGCAATTCAGCACGGCGCAGCACAGCACAGCCCTCGGCAGGGTACATCAAGATCGATACCTTCAGTATTGCATTTGCCCGTCACCCAATCAGGTGTCTTTGAAAACGCTGCCATGTGTTACAGTTTTACATTCCTTTCCGGGTTCGTGGGTCGATCATGTTTTTCGTCGAAAATCCCCCTGTAGGTGGACAGGCCCGACTTAACCCTTGAGCCACCCCAGCAGGTGCGCCGAATGAGAAACCAGCCTGCCAGCGCGTGCCCCTCGGACGTTTCTCCTCCCCCGATGCCTCAGGGACCCACGGGAGCTCTGGGGCATTTTGTAGGGCCCTCACGTATCGACGAAGGATTGCAAAAAAAACGAAGGATTGCAAAAAAACGAAGGATTGCAACGAAGGATTGCAAAAACGAAGGATTGCAAAACGATGGTTTGTTTGCAATCCTTCGATGGTGCCCCAAATATTTCCCACTCTAAGATTCGGCATCGTAGCCGTCTAGGGCAGCTTCGCGGTCCGTTGCCGCCGCGCCAAATGACCCCGCCGCGGGCGTTCCAGGTCGAGCGCCGCCAGCGGTCCAGCATCGGCCCATAGGGAGCCATCTGGCGGTCGGACAGCCGCCGATCGTTCGAGGCTGAGCGTCAGGAGGGGAAAAAACACACACAGACCCAATTATTCGTCGATTCCCAGAAGATATGCGAAAATATGGGGGGGGGAAGACAGAAACCCAGAACATATGGGAACATATGGGGAATCTTTTGATTTGTGTGCATTTATTTGTGTGTTTGTGGGCCCCGTCAGAACGTGCCACGTCGTGTCAGAAACCCACGCGCAGCGTGCTGTGTCCCCAGCCGGCCCGCCCTCCCGCAGGGGCACCAAGTACAACCAGCTGCTCTACAACAGCGTGACGGCGGCGCTGCTGTCCCTGGGGATCCTGCTCCTGTGGGGCAGGGCGAGGGAGTCGCTGGAGTTCTGCAAAGGCTGGCGGCGCGCACGAGGGGGCTGGCGCGAGGGGAGCGGCCTTCTCTCAGGAGGCGGGGGGCCTCTTGGCGGGTCGGTGGCTTCTTCTTTCTAATTCGGGCACGTCCCTCTACAGGGGGAGTATTCAAGCATGCCACACATAACCTGGGGACGATTCTCTGGTATGGCTAACCATGTTTCGACAGCGGTTCTTTTTTCTTTCAACATCTGCCTGTATGAAGACATGCCTGGCCTAAACCAAGGAGGGCAAACCCACCCCGAACCCCCAAAATTCGTGACGTTTGCCCTGCAGCCCTGCCCTGGTTGATTCCTCCTTTTGGGTGCGTTTGCTGAACGGCTTCGCGCGTCGGGATGCTAGTGGGGAGGGTGGTTATTCTGCTTTCGTTTTTTGGGCCTCACAGAAGGAGTTCGAATAGATTAGGGTCGGAGGATCGCGCCGCATCTCGGATGCCTCGGCGAGGCGGCTCGATGTGGAGCCCGAATCTCTCTACGCCGATGCATCGCGGATTCGTCGCCGATGCGTCGCCGATGCATCGGTGATGCATCGGCGATGTGGTGCGATTCTTCGACCCCGTCTACTCCGACCCCATCCAGCAGGGCTCATTTCGATTCCTCCGATTCGATTCGATTCGATTTCGATTGCTTCCGATTCCGATTCGATCCGACTTGGGATTCCGATTTGGGTTCCGATTCCTGCTTGGAGGCATACTAGCCTGCCGATTTCTGCCGATTCGACTTTTCCCGACCCGGCCGCCGATTTCTGCCGATCCGATTCATTCCGATCGCCGATCCGAGTTATCGATTCGATTCTGGGCTCTCCTGCATCCAGGAAGCCTCTGTTCCCAGAAGGTTCCCAGGAGATGTTCGGAAGGCTTCAAAGAAGCCGCCCGCCCGCAAAATGTGTGTCCATGTCCACTGCAGCTTGGGGTTTCGGGCTCCCTCCCCCAGAAAGCCTTGGAGCACTGGATATGGATAAAAATCAGGCCCCTACTAGAGGCTCGAATTTTATCCATATCCAGTGCGCCTCGGCCTTGCGGCGCCCCCTCCACGAAAGTCCAAGACGCCCTGGATATGGATATAAATATTGCCCCCGCCCTCTCCTACGAAGGCCGCCTCCCCCCCCCCGCACCACACACCCCTTCGTGCGCGCCGTCTCAGGGCACCCGGCGCTCTACGTGGACGCCTCCATCATGAGCGCGGCAGCGATGATCGCGCAGTGGTTCGTCCACATGCAGGTGCAGGAGATTTTTGTTCCCCAGAAAGGGCGGAGGCCCAGGGTTCTCTTTTAGAGGTTTACCCCTGGAATCGACTGGAAGGAGGCCGGCGGAATCGTTTTGCGATGAATGACGAGTTTGAAGGAGGCCGGCGGAATTATTGTTCAGGATGTCTCGAGCGAAACGCTTGTTTTTCCAACCATCCTGTGGTGTTGGGTCCTCGTTTTGAAGAGACGGTGCCCCGCGTTCCTCTCCTCTCCTCTCCTCTCCTCTCCTCTCCTCTCCGCTCCTCTCCTCTCCTCCTCTCCTCCCCTCCTCTCCTCCTCTCCTCTTCACCCACCCAGTACACCGCTTCGTGGCTCCATAGGGAGCTCCACCGAAGGCCCCAGTGCCCGCGCCCGCATGCGTCACCCACACCCATTTCGGCACACCCCTCACACGTTTCGTGGCTCCATAGGGAGCTCCACCGAAGGCCCCAGTGCCCGCGCCCGCATGCGTCACCCACACCCATTTCGGCACACCCCTCACACGTTTCGTGGCTCCATAGGGAGCTCCACCGAAGGCCCCAGTGCCCGCGCCCGCATGCGTCACCCACACCCATTTCGGCACACCCCTCACACGTTTCGTGGCTCCATAGGGAGCTCCACCGAAGGCCCCAGTGCCCGCCCGCATGCGTCACCCACACCCATTTCGGCACACCCCTCACACGTTTCGTGGCTCCATAGGGAGCTCCACCGAAGGCCCCAGTGCCCGCGCCCGCATGCGTCACCCACACCCATTTCGGCACACCCCTCACACGCTTCGTGGCTCCATAGGGAGCTCCACCGAAGGCCCCAGTGCATGCACGCACACCCCTTTTCGTGGCTCCATAGGGAGCTCCACCGAAGGCCCCAGTGCCCGCGCCGCATGCGTCACCCACACCCATTTCGGCACACCCCTCACACGCTTCGTGGCTCCATAGGGAGCTCCACCGAAGGCCCCAGTGCTGCCGCCCGCATGCGTCACCCACATCCAATTCGGCACACCCCTCACACGTTTCGTGGCCCCACAGGAGCTCCGCCGAAGGCCCCAGTGCTGCCGCCTGCATTCGTCACCCACACAAAATTCGGCACACCCCTCACACGTTTCGTGGCCCCATGGGGAGCTCCACCGAAGGCCCCAGCGCCCGCGCCCGCATGAGGCAGCCACACCCATTTCGGCACACCCTTCACACGTTTCGTGGCCCCATGGGGAGCTCCACCGAAGGCCCCAGTGCCCGCGCCCGCATGCGTCAACCACACCCATTTCGGCACACCCCTCACACGTTTCGTGGCCCCATAGGGAGCTCCGCCAAAGGTCCCAGCGGGTATGCCCGCATGCGTCCCGTACACCCATGTCGGCATGCTCTTCATACATTTCGTGGCCCCATAGGGGGCTCCACCGAAGGCCCCAGTGGGTGTGCCCGCATGCGTCCCGCACACCCATCTCGGCACACCCCTCACGCGTTTCGTGACCCCTCACACGTCTCGTGGCCCCATAGGGAGCTCCACCGAAGGCCCCAGTGGGTGTGCCCGCATGCGTCCCGCACACCCATTTCGGCACACCCCTCGCACGTTTCGTGGCCCCATAGGGAGCTCCGCCGAAGGTCCCAGTGGGTGTGCCCGCATGCGTCCCGCACACGCATTTCGGCACACCCCTCACACGTTTCGTGGCCCCATAGGGAGCTCCGCCGAAGGCCCCAGTGCTGCCGCCCGCGTGCGTCACGCGCACCCATTTCGGCACACCCCTCACACGTTTCGTGGCCCCATAGGGAGCGCCACCGAAGAAGATATTCACAATTGCGGTATTCACAATTGCATATGGTTGGGTCCTTCGCCAGGATAATTTTTCAGGGTCGATCATGTTTTACCCCGACGTGCTTGGGCCCAAGGTTCTTTCCTAGTTCGAAGAGGGCCGGTGGATTAATTTGGGAAAAATAACGAGGTCGACGAGGGTGAGGATGTCCCGAGTGAAACGTTGGTTTTGGAAATTCCGATCGATAAAACATATGGTAATGTGAACATGTTGGTTTGTTGCGGGTGTCTCAAGCGAAACGCTTCTTTTGCATAATGCATTGAGAATGTTTGAGCGAAACGTTCTTTTTTGTCTTATATCTTGCTCCTCTCTTGGGGGACGTCTAGGCCACCCAATGAGGTATCCAATAAGGTGGCCTCGAGCTGGAACCACATGTTGTCATGTGTGCGAGCCACCAGGAGGGGTAACTAACATGGTTTCCCAGAGCTGGAAGCACAAGTTTTCACGTGTACGGGCCCACGGGGGGGAGATCTAACATGTGGTCGTCTGGAGACCTCTAGCATGGTGGCCCAGAAGACCCCGACTAACTCAATCAATCGACACCGGATGCGCAGTAACTTGACACAGTTTCTTCGTCTGGTAATTTCTCAGATTTCCAAATGGGGTATCTAACATTGTGGTCCCGAGCTGGAAACATGTGTTCTCACGTGTCCAGGCCACTCAGGGGGTATCTGACATGGTACATGGTATCCCCGAGCTGAAACAACGTGATTTCACTTGTCCAGGCCATCCACTTGGGTATCTAACATGGTGGCCCCGAGCTGGAACCATGTGTTTCCACGTGTCCAGGCCACTCAGGGGGATATCTAACATGGCGGTCCCGAGCTGGAACCACAAAGGTTCACGTGCCCAGGCCACCTTGAGGGGTATCTGATGGTGGTCCCAAACCGAAGCCGTGTGTTTTCTCTTGTCCAGGCCGCCCATAGGCGGGGTATCTAAGATGCTTGCCTCTTGCCCCTCGCTGGAACCACGTGTTTCCATGTGACCAGGCCACCCAGAAAAGGTATCCAGCATGTTCCTGAGCTGGATCCGCGTCTTTCGCGCGTCCAGGCCACCCCGTGGGGTATCCAACATGGTGGCCCCGAGCTGGAACCACGTGTTTTCACGTGTCCAGGCCACCCTGTGGGGTATCCAACATGGTGGCCCCGAGCTGGAACCATGTGTTTCCACGTGTCCAGGCCACCCAGAGGGGTCATCAACATCGTTGCCTCGAGATGGAACCTGGTGTGTTTTTTCACGTGTGCGGGCCATTTCAACACACAGGGTTATCTAACGTGTGGTTGTCTGGGCGCCCCCCAGCGCGGGGGCCCACAAGGGCCAGTCAACATCAAGAATTCAACGCCAGATTTGTAATAGCAGTTAAACGTACATATGTATCTGTGGGTTATATATATATACATGTTTACATATATATATGTATATGTGTATGTATATGTATATGTATATGTATAGGTATATGTATATGTATTTGTGCACATATACATAGATATACGTGTGCTTGTGTTTTCCATGGTTGCCATGAGGTATCTAACAGTGTGCCCCCGAGCTGAAACCACGTGTTTTGACGTGTCCAGGCCACCCAGAGAGGTATCCAACATGGTGCCCCCGAGCTGAAACAACGTGTTTTGACGTGCCCAGGCCACCCAGAGGGGTATCCAACATGGTGGTCCCGAGCTGAAACCACGTCTTTCCACGTGCCCAGGCCGCCCAGGGAATATCTAACATGGTGGCCCCGAGCTGGAACTAGGTGTTCTTACGTGTCCAGGCTGCCCAGAGGCGGGGTAGCCAGCCAGCAAGGCATCTAACATGGTGGTCCCTTACCTGGAGCTTCATCTTGGTTTAGGCCACCCTGAGGGGCTGGTAATTTTCCAAATGTCCCAATGGGGTATCTAACACGGTGGTCCCTCCCGAGCTAGGACCACTTGTTTTGACGTGTCCAGGCCACCTAGAGAGGTATCTAACATGGTGTCCCCGAGTTGGAGCCGCGGTCGCGGTCGTCCCCGTCCGCCGTCGTTGTCGGCGTTTCGGCCCGTCTTTTCTCGATGCATGTCGCCTCGGTTTGGACTTGCCCTGATCATTCCGCCCTGTTGCGGAACGTAGTCCTCTCAGAAGGTCTCGATTGCAATCAGCTCTGGGCCAGCAGTGCGCCCAGGCAGTTCGAGCTTGAGGCCCAGTTCAATCATGTCAGGATTCGAATGCCAGGGAAGATTTGATCCACGACGCAACAGAGCACAGACCTGTTCAGATTCCCCTCCCTTTCGGTCCGTCCCGCTTCCGAATTGAAGTGGATCTTGAGCTCGAGCTGGTCGAGCGCCCCGCGCGTTTCGATTGCGGCCAGATCTGAGCCGTGCGTTCAGGCAGCTCGAGCTTGAAGTCTATCAGTTCGATCGGGAGTCTGACGCCACGGTCAACTTGATCCACATTACAATACAGCATAGCTTTCCAACGCGGCATGGCGCGTCTCAGTTCATCACAGCACAGACCAGCACAGCCCCTGGCACTGTACATCACCTTCGCTACCTTGAGCACTAAAATTGCCCGTCGCCCCAATGTGGTGTCTTGAACAATTTCCATGCTTTACATATCTGTATCTCTTTCCAGGTTCGTGTGTCGATCATGTTTTTTTTTATAATCCCCTGGCGACAACGGGCGTGACTGGGGGGGGAAGTGGCCGGTCACGTCTCGATTGCGCCAGCACCGCCTAGGAATGCTTGAGAATGGTTGCTGCCCGGGCGGCGCCGGTGCCAATCGTGATGTGACCATGGGAGGGGCAGGGGGGGCGGGGCGGGGCCAGTCGCGGTCGTCACTCCAAGATCAGGAGGGGAAGAAACACGCAGACACAAGTAGTCGTCGGCTCCCAGGAAAACGAAAACCCAGAAAATACATGGAAAATGTGGAATCCTGGGATTTGTGTCCATTCATTTGTGTGTCCCTGGGCCCCTTTCCAGGACTTCGGCCGTCTCGCCTTCGCGGCCACGTTCAATCTGAGGCAGGTCGTATCCGTGGTGGCGTCCTACCTGGTGTACCAGCACGCGGTCACCGGCCCCCAGATCGCGGGGCTCGCGATCGTCGCCGTGGCGCTGGGCTTCCAGAGCCTCGCAGGAGCTCCGAGGGCCAAGGCGTCCCGACCACCGAGCTTGCGGAGGTCCGCGCGGGTGGACAGTGGAGGCCCATGCCTAGAGACACCCTGCTTGCCTCCAGGGTGCCCTGGGTTTCTTGGGGGTTCGGTGGTTTCGCTATGGAAAGCGTGACGTTCCCACACAACAAGTCAATGGACGTCCTGGGGTCTCAGTGTTGGGTTTCTTGTTGAAGGTTTCTTGTGGACTGGCCTCCACTGTACTGGGCTTGCGATTTACTCCCTCCCCGCACCACCCGCTCCTGAGGCGGCGGTGGAGGAGCCGCCAGGGGTATGGGGAGGAGGGTCCAGCGCCGACCTAAGAGGTCCGCGCGGACCTCCGAGCGCACACACTGCAGGCGCGTTGAACAAGGAATCGCTGTGCCAGCAGGTGCCCCGCGGAAAGTTCTCATCTCCCCAATGCCCCATCGACCCACAGAAGCTCTGGATCACCTCCGGACCCTCAGAGATCGACGAAGAAGGTGCCGCAACAAAAACCTGTTGCCAACATTTCTCACCCGATGTGCCCACTGTATTTTGTTGTGGCTGTCCGTGCTTGCCAAAAAAAAATCGGCTTGGACCCCAGCCCAACACCACCCCGACAAGGTCTTGAGGGGTGCGCCCAGGCCTCGCCATGATAGGGAGGCCTCCCCTGAGCGAGGCTCCGAACAAGCCGACCCGAAAAGCCCTCGAGTCGGGACACCCAGCGCTTCGGTTTCGTCGGGCGTGGCTCAATTCGGCGGCGAGCGAGGGGGGGGGAAATGAGAAGGAAAAGGCCTTCTCGGAAGGCGGCGGGACCTCTCAGAAGCCCTCGCTCCTTCAGAGAAAGTGTCTCTGTCTTCGGGGAAGGCTTCGAAAACTTTTCAGCAGGCCGGGGCACTCCCGAACCTTCTGAGAAGGCCTTCTCCTTCTCACTTCCCCCCCTTGGCTCGCCGCCGACCAGTGGAGGGGCGACGAAATTGGGGGGGGGGTTGTAGGAAGGTGCGCCATCGGTGCCCGAAAGGGGTCCTAAAGGGGCCCAGAAGGGGGCACGACGGGTGCTCGTCTCTCCCCGCCCCCTCACCCCCCGCAAGTCCCGGGGAAGACCCATGCCTAGAGACACCCTGCTTGCCTCCAGGGTGCCCACGGGTTGCTTGGTGTTTCGATGGCTTTGCTATCGAGAGCGTGACGTCCCCACACCAAAAAGTCAATGGACGTCCTGGGGTCTCGGTGATGGGTTTCTTGTTGAAGGTTTCTTGTGGACTGGCCCCCACTGTACTGGTTTCTTGAGTGCCAAGGCGTCCCGACCACCGAGCTTGCGGAGGTCCGCGCGGGTGCACAGTGGAGACCCATGCCTAGAGACACCCTGCTTGCCTCCAGGGTGCCCTGGGTTTCTTGGGGTTTCGGTGGATTCGCTATGGAAAGCGTGACGTCCCCACACCAAAAAATCAGTCAGTGGACGTCCTTGGGTCTCCGGGTCGGGTTTCTCGTGGGAGGTTTC